AAAATATGATTTGATGTTTAAGGCATCGCTTTACAAACTACAGTCGATTTCTCGTAAACTCTGATAGCTAGACAAGGTCTTTCTCCCTCCTAGACTCTAGTAGACAATCTGTTCTCTCAGATATTCTTACTGAGAAATGTAACACAAAGCTCAAAATAATAGAGCTATCAACAGTAAGGTACAAAAGTCAAACTTGCCTAACCTCAATCCCAGCAAGATAAAAAAGATTCAATAAAAAAGTAAAAACAAGTTTGATACACACACGTGAGTAGTCTCAAAAGTTTTGAAAGATTTGTCATAATAATATCACCCTTTTTTTTAATGCGGGCCATGTGAGTTAGTTCTTTTTCTGTCTTCTTTTTGTTCCTTTTTCTGGTGAAGAGGTAGGTTAGTTTTTTCCACCACTTTGCCAAAAGGTCCAAAACTAAGGGCTGTACTTGTGCCAATTCATTTAATAATATCTAGGAAGCACCGATAAGACACACGAGGAGAGGCAGAAGTTAATAGTGTAGTTTTGTCCAGTCCTCCACTCCTTGTGTGCATGCCATCGTTTTGAGACGCAGAAATTCACTGTTTCATGGAGTGAAAAAAAAAAAAAAACACTCTTGTTTTTAACCCGAATGGGGTAGCTTAGTAATATGGGATTAGAGTTAGGCAAGTCACAAGCTTAAACATCTTTGTGTTCGAATCTCGCCTTTCACTTTAAATTTTCACCGATACTTGTGAGTAGAAGATGGTTACAAGTATCTAACGTATACTTTACAATAATACTTGTAATATGATATTGTCTTAATATTTGTCATCGTGAAGAAAAGCATGAAAAGGGTGAGGTTAGTTGTGACATTGAGGGGGGTCATGGTTAAAGTGAGCATACCTCTCCACCGTCCATGGGATAGTCTCCCAATTAGTTGTGGATGGACGGAAATTGGCTGTCACTCTGAGAACGATAGTCGTACTGTCAAGTAAGGTCCACTCAAAACATTAATTGCTCTGATTCCTTTGCATTATTGAACCATGAATTAATCTTTCTTTCTTTTTTTTTTTTTCCTGTGACCCCATGATCTAATCACTTTGTCCTAACGTTTGACTTGAAGGGTGAAAGAAACCGAGAAACGAGTACTGAGATTTCAATCTGTCAAGCTCCAGGAACTTGTACATTGTAAAGAAGGGGATGGAGATTTGATCCTATTTAGATTGTTTTGTATCGAACTGTTGATCTTGACTGAAAAAGATATCTATAATGTCATGTTGTGGGGGAAAGACTCTTGGGTGGTTTGAATTTTGAGAGCTGATTGAATGGATACATGTGATATTTCATTTCTAAGGGACCACATTAGCAAGCCAAGGCTGCAGTATTGTCCATACTGTATCACTGGGCAAGCAAGGGTCAAAATTGGGGTGAATTTAGGTGAGAATTGGGAACTACCCATTAAAAGTAGGAAATCATCATTGAATATATAATAGAGTGATGGACTGTTAGAGGACATCAGACACTATGTGAGGGCGATTGTAAAGGAAGTGAGGGGCTTAATAAAAGACATTGAATTTTATGATCGGTTCAGTGGCTCTCATGCATGTTATAAAATACCCAACATCGATCATCAGAGAGATAGTAGCGGACGAGACAAGCTCCTGCGTCTACAACAAATCCTGTAGTCTCGACTTCGACATTAGCGGGTACTTAGGCTGAAGCTCCTTGTTGGTTTTTTTTATGGAGTCTAGTTTGTATATGTGATCCGGACGATGACCTGACCCGAAATAATGTTGTGTGGTTTTTAATGGAAAATTTTCTGAGGCTTAGTCCATGGAGCGAAGGCTTGGGCCGATAGGCCCAAGCCGTAGCGCTCATGGACAAGTCTCGTGGGGGTTCGGGGGCAACGCCCCCGAGGAAAATTTTTTTGGGCCCGTTATACAGCCCAGTGCGTAGGACATATAAACCCTGTTGTTTTGGTGATTAGGGTTAATCGTGGATGTACAGCCGCTCTCTGTATTCAACTCTCTCAATAGTGAAATCCCTGCAGCTTCGTGGACGTAGGCAAATTGCCGAACCACGTAAAATCTGTGTCTTGTTCTTTCTTGTTTCTTATTGCTTTATATTCTTGATTTGTTCTTCGATTGTGTGTGTTTGTTAGTGAATTTAAATCGTGAAAAATCTCAACACTCCTGTTCCAAACCAGCCTTAGAACTCACCATAGTCCTTAGAGCCTTCCGAGGGAACCAGAAGCAACCAAAAGAGAAAGCCCAGCCCCCTTAGTGGTAGCCGAAGTATTGGCCTAAATCTTTCACTTTTAGAAACCCTTTTTTGTTTTTCTTCTTTTTTACTTTTTTGTCAAGCATGCAAGTGTTAGAAGGAAAATTGAAGTATTATTTTCTTGTTATCTCTAAAAATATCATAATGTGTCGGTCATATTGAACTTGTAAATAGAGATGTTTCGTAAGGATAAGAAAAAATTCAAGCGGGCCCAACAAACAGCTTGATACATTATCTCCCTTCTACCTTTTAAGTAATGCTACAAATATTTAAAAACAAGTTATACTGATTGAAAGAACTTGACAAAATCTTTCAAATCAATCCCCATAGAAATGATTAGTCATTTGCTTGAAATTAGTCTTCTGTTCTGACCCAATTCAATTAGAATCCGGAGAAATGGAACGCATGACACCCCCTAGTCCACTTCCATTTGGTCAAAAGTTGGGTCATTGTTTGATGTGGTAACAAAGACAAAGATCATAAATGGGAGAACAATAATTCCATTGACCAGTACAACTCCCACAGACTTAAATAGATGCAAATGGAGTGGCTTAGGTTAAGGCAAGGAACAATCAAAGGCATGTGCAAATGAGATTAAGGTTTGGGACCAGCTGACTCAGAAGGGTACCCTACACTAGCTCCATGAAGAGCTGAAGGAAATAGCTTCACCTCATAATTTAAGGCCCATATGGTTTCTTTTTTGCCTCGTAATAAAGACACTGAATTGAGTCACCTATATTTCTCTCCTGGTGAATTGTGGTGTCTCTTTCAAAGCAGGCGTGGGGGTGTGGTGGATTTTATTAGGGATTTGTTGTACTGTGCTTGTAAAAAGTCATTTTCTGTCTCATGGCAAAGTGAATGGAGGGCATGAGACAAAGGCTACTTGGTGACTTTACAATGTGAAATTAAAGAAATATTAGTGTTCTATTTTTTCTAGTACATGTGGTTGAAAGTCAATTTCTTTACTGCTTCAAATGGCAGTCTGAGTTTTGTTGATTTATGTTCTGTTTGAGGGTTACTATCTTGAGTACCCATATCCGATGCATGTGGTTTGAGAATGATTATATACATCTAAACATTGAAGCCACGAGTCCAAAGAGTGTATGGCAGTGACGTGTTCTCAAAAAAAATGAAGCATTTAGAGTCAAAATTGCAGGATTCAAAGTCGAGTTTATAGCTAACTTGTTTAAGTTTTACATTATATTGCACCAGTCTCAAATTCTAAGAAGAATGCACCATTAAAGCCATCTTGAATGCACTGGAGCACATTAGCAGTTGGTACTTTTCAGCCTTTAATGCCAATTGCACAGCATTTCTATTTTCTCTGTGTGCAGTGATACCTAACACAATACTTATGCTTCTATGCATAAAACTTAGAGAAAAGATTGAAAAGTATTTGTTATTATTGTAAAAATGGCAACCTAATACATGAGACTCCCACTATTGCGAGGTTTGGAAAGAGTCCAATTTACGCAACCTCACCACTGCATGCGAAGAGACTATTTCTGCGATTCAAATCAGTGACGCCCAGGTCATAAATGGAGCAACTTTACTGCTGCACAAAAGCCCACCTCAAACAATATTTGCTGTAATTATATTACTGAATTTTGGAGGTCAAGCAACTAAGTACAATGCTAACTGCTGCTGAAGATCATTCCCCCATTCAGTGGTTTTGTCAAGCAACAAATATCTAAGCAAGTTGCCATACCTACCATCATGAAGACAGCAGAAAGCCCAAATTGGTTTGTCCAACCTACCACAGTACTCATCAAATTTACTAGTATCTTTATAGTATATCCCCAACAGTTTGTGAAACATTGCTTAATATATAACTTCCCAGTTGCTTGGCACACAATCTAATTGCTTTGAACTTGGTTTCATTATAGTTGAAAGTTTGGTAAAACTCTTAGATAACGTACCTCTTTCACAGACAACTCAAAATGTGGATATTCTAAGTTCTTATGACATTCCTATTTTCATCCCTTGAAGTTCTATAGCTAGAACAGTTGAGCAATAAAAGGGTTCTACTGCAGAAGTTTGTCGTACGGTAATCTCGCTAAAAAGATTAATCGGTGACATTTCTGTCCGATATGGCACATGAACTTCTAAACAAAGAACAGAATCTGCCTGCAACGTATTTATGAAAGATGGTTTTTGATCATCATAAGTAGATGTCCTAATTAAGAGGGAACAAAATCCTACAAAGTTGTCATTGTAAGCAATTTTTAACTGTTACTGCCCATAATTCACTCAAATTTGTTCTAAAACAGACTGCATTTTTTTCTGCCACTGTTGTGCACAACAGTTATTTCTAGTTTAGTAATTATTATTGCAATCACGGGCATGAGCTAATCATAGTATTAGTACGGATGGATTTGATCAACTTGCAGACACTGATTGAAGAATTACAAAAAAAAAAAAAAGCTCCAGTTATTTTGTTGAGAGGGCAGCATCACCGTACGATGACAGGCTGCAACGGTTGGCATTGAGCTGGCTATTACACAAATGTGGATGAAAATGTAGCCCTTCCTGTAATCACCATTGTTACCACTCTCAATTGCCAAGGTCCAATGATTCATTTCTCTCTGTTTCTCTCTCTCTCCAAGACCAAGCCAACTGGCAATATTGAGTCATTCACAAACTAGATAAAATAATGAGGCCAGAGGATGGAGCAAAGGACAAAAGCAGTCTAGGATCTGAGTGTGATTCATTTGGTTTTTTTATCCCGTCTAGTCTTCTTCTCCCTTACTTATATAGAGAACCCAAATCCCAAAACAAGAGAGTAGTACATATCAATTCTATATATTTTTCCAGTTCAGCTCTCTCTCTGTCTCTCTCTCTCTCTCTTCATCAGATGGAGCATACATAAGAGAAGCCATTTGGAGTTTGTTTGTAGAGGGAGGCTAAAGAATGAACATATCAACTTCTGAATGCAGTAGTGGGTGTGAATCTGGTTGGACTATGTACTTAGACCAGTCCTCAAATTCTGCAGATCAATGCGACAGAGTCGGTTTTCCAATCAATGATGAAGATTGTAGAAGCAAAGGTGAAAATGTGGTCGAGGAAGAGGAAGAAGAAGATGAGGACTTGTCCATGGTGTCTGATGCATCATCAGGGCCTCCACAATTCCATGAAAATGGAGACTTCTTTTATGATACTAGTAGTCATTTCTGCTTTGCTTCTTCAACTTCTGAACAAGCCAATAAGAGAAAACAGAAAACTAGAATAAAAAATGGTGTGAAACAACAAAATTCATATCTTGATGATACTGCCAGCTCCCCTTTCTTGAGCTTTTCCAAGGTGAGTCCAATGAAAACAGAATTAATCCGTGTGAGGTTTGATCCCTTTTGAATTTTCATTGCTTGATAGGCGTCACAAGTGTAATTTTATTTTATTTTATTTTTTGGCAGAAGAACATTGATCTATCCAACAATGAAGCTTCAATGAGGGGTGTCCAGGGTGTTTCTCAAGACTCCTCTGCCACACATTCTAAGGTTCTATTCCGTCTACATTCTGAATAAAAACAATTATTCCTCATTTCATTAGGGGTTGCATTCATTTCCTTTTATCTATTCCCCATAAATATGTTAGCATTGATATTACATGTACTCCCTTGCAGGGAAAATCTGCACTAAAAAAGCACTTTGGTTTCTTGAAGTCCTCAGGGCCTGGTAAAGAAGTTTCTGGAAAATCAGGTGAGCTCTAATGTGTACATTGCTGAGATAAAACAAGGATTTTGTTCAAAAAACAAAAAAAGAGATAAAACAAGGATGCTTCATAGTTATGCTCCTAAAGCCTTGTTGGGTTTCTGATATTTTTTCTTTTCTTTTCTTTTCTTTTTGGGTGCGTGTGTGTGTTTGGGTATGTCTTGTCAGGTGGTTTGCAGGGAAGAAAATGGCAGTGAGAAATGGCAATAGTCTTCTGTCTCCTCTGCTGCTGCAGTTGCTCGAGAGAGAGAGAATTGGGGATGTAAAAAAAAAAAAGGGCACCAGATTTCTAAGGATCTTTATTTCTTTCTTTTCTATTCAATCTTTGTTCTTGTTATTTGTTCCTGTCTATGCAGTGGGAAACAACCTGAGACCATAAATGTAAAACAATTTCCTTTTGTTTATTATTCTCTTTCTGTGTCATCACTATTAGTCACAAATGAGACTTTGTGGTCTGCTATAAAAGTCCTGCAGAGTCCTACTACCACTCACAAAACCCTGCTTTCAGTAGTACCCCCATATTCTCCATTCCTTAGTGCTGAATCTAATCTATCACATTCAGAACCAAAGTTATCTGAATGTGTTTTGTTAATGAACATACATACATCTAAGTCACATCAGGGCCATTCCCTTTTCTAAAGCTTCAATGAAGGCGAAGTATTGAAACCTTTTGAAATCTATTCTGTTGCACAAGATATGGTGATTTTCTTGAAAAGTAGGAAGTACAATTTCATTGAAGCAATCAATTGATCTTGGAGGAAATCAAGTAAAAAAGTTCAAAAAAATAATAAAGCTATTGCAGTATTGTGGTCCTGTCAGAGGCCCAGACCCGGGATTTCCTCCTAATAAACGAATACCGCACTATATGATTCTTGATAGAGCACAATGGAGAAACAGAATTTATATAATGGAGCCAAATACCAAACTATCCGGCTGTGGGCACGGATACAGATATCAGGAGGCCACCATGTACGAGCACACGACACGCCCATACACGGAGGACACACGAAGAGGACCATCCATCATCAAATGCAGAAGAAGCCTAAAGCCATTAATTGAGCCAACATTGTTCTAATATGAGGATTGCCAGCCTAGCCAAACACTAAATGAGGAGGGTTGGGGTGGGTAAATGTGGCAATGCAAATATGCAATGCACAATAAACTCAAACAAGACAATGTTTCTGATGAAACTTTGATACCCATAAATCTCATTTTCCTCCAAAAGGAACCAAAATGAGCCCCCACACCTTTATGACAGCTACCCACTAAGAATGTCATCCACGTATATCATAATATAAAATCTAGTACAATAATTGAATTTTGTTTGTTGGGATTTGTCCAAAATCTTGATTGAGGGGGCTTAGTAACCTTAGAATTTGAACCCGTATTTTGGAAAATGACAGATTTCCTAGCCATGTGTCCAGAATACTAACAACCCTCTCTTCCTGGTACATCCTGATGATTATCCCAAGTGAAATTTAAAGTTGATTGAATTAAGGAAAATGTAGTGGAAATATTAATGCATGTTTGGAGTTATACTCAAGACTCCAGAGATGGAGAAAACTACGTATGCATCTATTAACATTATGTATTAAAATAAAAGAAAGAGGTTTTTCAATGCAAGATCTAAAAACATATCTCTATGTGGCACCGGTAATAAATACTCTATGGTTTAGGTATCCTGTAATATCCCAAATTCAAAATATATATAATATTAGTTTTTAGATTAATTTACAATATTTTTTTTAGAAAGGGATGTTAATGTATTTAATAAATTTGAGGACTTGTAGGGTTTCTTTTATTTTCTATACGTATATATGTAGGCAGTCAAAATAAGGCAATTGAAAAAAAAAATAAGGAGAAACAAAGAAAGGCAGCCCATGGTTATATAGCTATACACACACACACACACATATATATAGAGAGAGAGAGAGAGGAGGAGGAGGAAAAAGAAAGAAATGGACTTGAATCCATCCAAGGTATGGATTGATTATTTTTTTTATGAGTTTTATATTCTTATTCAATTAATGGGTGTAAGGTTTATAATGTTGGTGTGTATATATATACTTGTCAAGAATCGATCGTAACCAGATAATCTCACATGTGCCAAGTGCCAATGTCCGATACTCTGCCTCTGCGATACTTTCTTGGGATTGAGGTTGCCCGTAGAAGCAGGCAGTTGTCTTCAAGTTGGTATCAGAGCAAGGTTAGGGTTTGGGGTAGGGTTAGTGTATGGCTCTACTAGCCATACCGCCGAAATCACCCTGGCCATCAGCTGCCCAGCGAAACCGACCAAACCAGCGACAAAACCAGTCCACCGACTGCCTATCCTTATACCAGTCCACCACAACCTTAATCCAGTGGTTAGGGTTTCTCTTTCTTCAGCAAACAACCTGAAAGTGAATAGGAGAGGTTAAAGTGACGGCGCCGTCGCTGTCCGCCTTGATCAAGTCGTCGCTTCGTCTTGGCCCTCGTTTTTGCCCAATCTCTTCCGTTCAATTTTAGGCCTTAGTCTTGTACACTCTGTTGAATCTATACATATACTTATATCTTTGAAGCTCAAGCTCATCAGAATCAATGGCGGTGAAAACATCGAAGGTCGAAAAGAAGATCGCTTATGATCAAAAGTTGTGCCAGCTTCTTGATCAGTACACCCAGGTCCTCATCGCCGCGGCCGACAATGTCGGATCGAACCAGTTGCAGAATATTAGGCAGGGACTTCGTGGAGACTCTATCGTGCTGATGGGGAAAAATACTATGATGAAGAGGTCCATCAGGATCCATTCTGAGAAGACCGGCAACAAGGCCTACCTCAACCTTATTCCTCTGAGGCTGCCCTGCTTGCAAAACTTGGGATAAGACCCTTCTCTTATGGTCTGCAAGTTCTGTCTGTTTATGACAATGGTTCAGTTTTTAACCCAGAGGTGCTTGATCTGACTGAAGATGATCTTATGGACAAGTTTGCTATTGGAGTTTCCATGGTTACTGCCCTGTCACTGGCCATCTCGTATCCAACACTTGCAGCAACCTCAATCCATACCAGTTCAACCAGTCCATACCGATCCTCACCTGCACTGACAAATACCACAGACAGCAAACAAACAACCAGCCCATAACCATATGTCAAACCAGCCCATAACCATATGCTAAACCAGCCCACTGTCCAACCGACTGGCCATATATATCCTGTCCCGCGCCCTTTACCCATTCTCCATATAATAATAATAATAGATCCAACCCAATAAACCCAATAAAACCACTCCTACTGCTAGATCATTGTCCAGCCCACTGCTGGGTCACAACTTTCGTTGTGATTTTATTCTAGGACTTTTTTGGGAGGGAGCGGATCCTCTTTTCTGTTGATCTGCCCTTGATGCAGTAGATCACTTATTTATATATTTTGGATTTCTGGGCACCGTGACTTGATTATTTGGGAGCTTTTTGGACCTTCCCTATTTGTCGCTACTGTTTGACTGAAGGTATATTGTTCTCCCTTATTTTATTCCTCTATTTATCTTAGAGTTATTTTTCTGTCACGGGTGCCCTAGTATTGTTGTTGATATGACTACTACTGAGGGACTTAAGAACCCTACTGTTGAGACAATCTATAATGAATTTTGATTGTGAATTGAGTTGAGTTTACTCCTCTTGTTCTTGATTGAACTTTTGAACTTATCAAAGGTAAATCACATCCTTTGTGGCGTTCTTGCTTGTAATTTGGGTTCTTCAGACGGGTCTAGATTTTAATATAATCTAGGTTCTTGGAACGAGATCTCAACGGGTCTAGTTGCATTACCAGCATTACCGGCATAATCTCTCAAAAAGTTACAGCACAATTGTTGAATGGTCGTAACTTCGCTGAGTGGTCACGCTCATTCCAGCTTTTCTTAGGCCGTGTAAGGAAGCTTGGTTGGCTGACGGGATCTCACCCAAAGCCAGTTGATGCCGACCCTGGATATTCTGCATGGTTCTCTGAAAACTGTGTCATTCTTGGATGGTTATTTGGCTCAATGGAGCCCTCTGTTTGCAAGATCCACCAGTTTCATAGCTCTGATACCAACTTGAAATAATTGTGAGTAAAATGAGATACTCAAATTAAGAGTAAAACCCCGTATATATAGGCAAAATATAAAAATCATAGTAAAGGTAAAAAAGGGAAAAGAAATCCTAATAAACCTAGGAAAAGAAATCCTAATAAACCTAGGAAAAGAAATCATAATAAACCTAAATTATCTATACTCCAACATATATATATATAGGTACTTTATTGATTATTGAAGTTATTCGGTTGATCTTTAAGTTTATAGTTGTTTGGAATTGATTGAGTTTAATCAATGTGTTGGGAAAAAAAAAAAAAGGGAAAGGAAGCTACTGATTTTAGAGTTTCCGTAGGAAGAAAGTGGTGAAAAAGTGTAAAATTATGGAAATCATCCCTTTAGTTTTAAATAATTTTATTTTGACCCCTATATTCTTTGAAATTTAATTTTTAACCACCATTTTACTTTGTAAGTTGCAAGAATTGAATTCTGGAAAATTTATGGCATTCTTGAAAACAGAAAATTCATTTTTTAAAGAAATTACACTTCAACCCCAAAAGTTTTAAAAAATTATAATTTGACCCCAAAATTTAAAAAAAAATTCTAAACAACCCAAAATACTTTCATACCCTATTACCTCATATTAGAAATGATATTTATATTTAAAAGATATATTAAGTATATATCAATGGGTAATAAGTATAAAAATTAAATATAAAATCGTGAAACGACGAAATTAGGAATAAGGATTGATTATTATATGTTATTTTGAATTAGGTGGTGATTGCATTGATGTTGGTAAAGAGTGCTTTGAATTGGATTTTAGCAATCAAGGTAAGTATTTTATTACTTCTATTGGGAGAATTTTCTATATTAAACTGTGGATGTCTGTGTGTGAATTTTTATATATATGATATATGTTGATGTTTGGGGTTACAGTTAAATGTTTTGCAATTGTGAATTATTATACTTGTAAAGTTTGGAAAAACTTATGGAATTATTTTATATCATTTTTTAAATGTGTTTTGATGATGAAAAGAAAATTTTGTGTGCGTTGAAACTAAAATAACAGTTTTAGTGTGTGTGTTAAAATCATGTTTTATGAGAAGGGAACTGAGTTACCAGATCTAAATGGTAACAAGATTGTATACTGGTGTGATCGATATAGGGATGTGCACATAGGGGCTAGTTACCAGGCTAATGATAACAAAATATGGGGTCAATCATCATGCTAGTGATGACAAGAGATGGGGTTAGTTACCAAGCTAGTGGTAACAAACATAATTTGACAAATATATTTGAAACTGAATGTGTGCGAGTATTTTGAGTTATAAATGTCTTTCATTTATAAAGTTATTTGTGAAAATGAGTGGGTATTTGACT